CCCATTCATCCATTCATTGTGTAGTCTAGCAAGTGTGACGTAGCAATGGATGAATGTGGTGCTGAAGTGTGGTTCTTCAGTTTGACTGAAAACACTTACTTGCGTGTGCGTGACTTTCTAACGGTGTTCCTGTATGTAGGCGTTCTCCAGCCTCAGTGTGAACGTGTAGCCATCGAGGCCCTGCAGCTCTGCACCCTCCTCCTTCCACCCGCCTCCCGCAGGAAGTTGCAGCTGCTCATGAGGATGGCGTCACGCATCAGCCAGAATGTAGACATGCCTCGCCTCCACCCTGCTATCGGCACCCGGACATTGGTAAGGAGCTAGCAAATATTTTTTGTTCCTGTCTAATACTCTGAACATTCCCTAAAGAAGTGTGAGCACAGACATGTATGTCATGTTCTTTTATCATGATGTCCCTGTTTGTTTACCTTTTATTCACTTGTGTATCTGGATGTTTGTCGTGGATTTCAGATGGTTCACACATTTTCAGGCTGTGTCCTGGGCAGTGCTGAAGAGTGTGATTTGGATGAGCTGTTAGCAACCAGGCTGGTGTCATTTTTAATGGATCATCAGCAAAGCATCCTCTCAGTCCCAGAGTACCTGCTTGGTGCCATCAGTGACCATATACAGTACCTACGAACATCACAGGTATACCTTCAAACTGTAAACCACAACCAACTAATTCTTAAAGAAGCAGAGTAAGTGATACCCTGCATGTCTGTTCAAATACAACTGCAGAAGCAAGCTGATAGCTGTGAATGCTCAAAAGACACCTTTTCATGCTGCTGGAGGAACCTGCCAGCTTCATTGGGAGCTTTAAAATCTGTTAACATGTTGATTTCTTCATGTTTGTACTGTCCTGATTTCAGGTCCCAATTGACTCTGTTTCAAAGACTGACAAAAGCGATCTGGTTTGCCCTCCATTGCCGGTCTACACGTTCTGCCATCAGATCAGTGGCGCTGAGTTTGAACAGCAAAAACTGGAGTCTTCTCAGAAGGCCATGGAGGAGCTGCTAGAGATCCTGGTGACAGATCAAAACATCAGTGAGAAGGACAGACGCAAGAAACTGAAACAGGTAACGGTCTACTGAAAGTCCAGGCGATGCCTCAAGTCTGGTTCTGTTTGCACACAGATGCAAAGTGAATAAAGAAGTGTCCCTCTTCCTGTCTTGATTTGTAACCCTAGTACTTGACCAATGAGTTTCTCATCAAGTTTCAAATTTCCTTCAGTATGGCGTGATGTTTTAAACTGTAACAGTGGTAGCCAAACCCCATGGTTTTAAACAGTCTCCCACTTACTTATGGGAGAGGTAACAGTGGCTGTCTTTGATACACACTCACACATATTTGGTTTTGAGTCAATTTGCAGTGTTTTCAACTTGAAAGCTATTTTCAGTAGCCTTCAGATTCCTGACGTTCACACAAGGATATAACAAGTCACTTCATATCCTCAAAAATGCTGGAAATCTGCAGACTCAGCAAAGTGTAATTTTCTTATTGTTCTCCTAAGTTTCAGAAGCAGTACCCAGACATCTACAGGCAACGATTCCCCTCCCCAGACCGAGAGAGCAAGACTGACAACAAACCAAAGATTAAACCTCCACTCCTCAACATCAAGAAGACCAAAGCTTTCAGCATCAGGAACTGAACGACTGCAGGAGGCGCGCTCTCGCCGCTTACGTCGTGATCGCTGCACTGATATCACACTCCTGGCAGGACAATTGAGAAGTCGTTTTTCCCATGGCAGCCAAAAGCAGTGTGTTACATTGGAAATGCTGTTTTTACTGTTGTGTTTATTGTAAGTAAATGTAGACTGGATGATTTTAACAGGAGTTGATTTGTGTATTCATGTGTTGTGTATATTTGTATTGAGTTTTGTGTGCTGACTTAGATGAAGGCTTGTGACCGTAGCTCTACAGAGTCGCTCATACCATTTACATGTTTTATGAAGAAAGGTACTTTACCTGTTGTCCCCTCACTTTTCTTTTCTATTTGTATCGTGCGTGCGTGCGTGCGTGCGCGTCACTTCAAGTAAGAAGCAAGCTCCAAAAGGCAATTGGGAAAAAAATATGCAATTCTAAGATCACTGGTCAATATGGGAGCAATTAGATTTCTTAATTTATATGAATGTCGACAGCAGGAGGGAGTGCTAGTTGTTGTTTATTTTTTGTTATGTTGATGTTTTTTTGAAGTTTCAATATTTTCTATCATAGATGCTTAAGTTTTATTTGAAACTATTTGTCAGGCCTGATGTTGAGCATTTTCTCTTTCTTTGCCCTCATCTTATTTTTCCCTCTGTCAAGTATGGAGTTTTTAAAACTCTTTTTGAAATCTTAGTTTTATTTCTTGGTGATCTTTTTTCAGGATGCCAGCTTTTTCATATCTAGCTCAGTTATTGAAATCGCGTTAATCTTTCCAGTTTCTTTTTACTTCTTGAGCTTGTGTGTCTCATCCCTGCTTTGTTTAGTGGATTGTTTGCACTTGGAGCTAGGCCAGCATGCTTATGTCAATCACCAGTGTGGTCATTTATACATATTTAAGGCTTATTAGACTTCCCAAACCAAGTTTTTTCCATCAGACACCTGATATGCCCTTGGTATGGGTAGTGCCTTGTGAGAGCTTGACCTGAATGCGCATCCATTCATTTCAGTGCTGCATGCTGACAGGTATTTGGTAAACTGAGGGGAATTACACAACTCATGTCAAGTGTCTGAAGAAATCTTAATATTCAAATGGTGTCAAACGCTCTTTTATTTATCTTAAGCTACATGAAGTATTACTTCTACCCTGGTATGTTTGTGTTTACCTCAGATCAGATGGTGCATGCATGTTTAACCGCACACGCACTCATCATCGGTGTTCTACAACTGTTCCTCTACATTGTTTACTATGCAAAGTCCTGGGAAATAAATTGTTTTTAGCTGTTCAGTGTTTCAGTGGTGTTTGTATTGAAGTGACAGCTTTATTTAGAACATTATTATTATTATTATTATTTCTGGTGTTGAACATCTACCTGGCAGGATTTTTTCCCTGTGATATTAAATTGATGTTTGTGTTGGAGAGATTTTTGCACTGATTTTAAATTATAATCGAGCAACCCCTAAATGCATTTTGTATCCTGGAGACTGTTTAAACCTAAAAGCAGCTTCACAGTTTTATATTAGCGGGCAGTACCATGTGACTTCTTGTTTCTAAAAAAACAGCATCCATTTATTCCAGTGTTTCATGCTGACAGGTGTACGCTGGGGTGAATTACACAACCTGTCTCAAGTATCTGAAAAAATCTCAACAAATTCAACTCCCAAGTGTCAAACTCTCCTTTTTTATTTATCTTAAGCTGCATGAAGTATTACTTCTCCCCTGATATGTTTGAGCTTACCTCAGATCAGATGGCGTGTGCATGTTTAACCACACATGCATTCATCATCGGTGTTTTGTACCTACATTGTTTCCATTGCAAAGTCCTGGGAATAAACTTGTGTAGCTGTCCAGTATTTCAGTAGTGTTTGTACTGACAGGACAGCAATAAAGGTACACGATTACATCTGCCTGGCCACCAGTTAGGTAATATTACCTACTTCTTTTTACGTTACTCTGATGCTCCTGGTGGGAAGATTATAATAGAGAATCACTTAGATGCATTTAATATCCTGAATATTCCTTAAACCTAAAAGCTGCTTCACAAAGCAGCAGGCAGAACAAACACGGGCAGCCAGGCCGCTGCTAAAGAAGCTCGTTCAGTGTGCCCGAAGTTTCTCAACTTTTTGTTACTTGTTAGAAGTAACTATAATCTGAGTGTAGCCAGTCAGAATTAAACCACAAAGTTTATTATTTGCAAATGTGTAAACTGGCGGGCTTCATAATTTCATATTTTTATTGTCCTCTATTACCTCCGTGATCTTTCTTGTGAATATTTACACGATACTTCTTCCATGGCATAATAATAACAACCATATTATTATGCCATGGAAGAAGTATCATGTATCTAAAAGATGGACACAGTATGATTTCCGATTGATTTCTGGATTCTGCCTTAAAAACGTAGGTTATAGCATTTTGGCTGCTGTCTTGTTGGATTTTGTGATCCAGAAGCAGAGATATTTAGATGTGACAATAAGTTGCTAAATGCCTGATAATTTGTGCCAACAGATTATTAAAATACTAGAATTAAATTCACTAAATCTGAATCACAAAATAAATGGTTGTTTTGTGTCTTAATGTTTGTCAGATTATGCAACTGAACGCGCTCCAGTAGACAGCAACACTACGATCGCAGTCAAGACCCAAAAGTCTTGTCTAGATAGCTATCAGCTTTTAGGAAACAAACAAAGAAACACTTTGATACGGTTCCTTGACTTACCCACCTTCATTTCTTGTGATACTGCAAGCCGCAGGTGGTAGGGAAAGCATCTCAAACCAATAAGAATTCCACCTGTTGCAGGATGAAATGCAGCCCATTTGTGTGTGTGTGTGTGTGTGTGTGTGTGTGTGTGTGTGTGTGTGTGTGTGTGTGTGTGTGTGTGTGTGTGTGTGTGTTTTACTCTCCTTCCTCACTGAGTAGCTAATTAAAATAGTTTCTCAGCCTTTGTCAAAGCTGTCTGGAACTAATTAGATAAGATTCTTTCTGCAAGCATATCCTCCTTCAAACACACTGCTTTTAAAGGCTGAATTTGCTAGTTTGACCCACATCACTGGTGACTGTTTGTGTTCCCAGACCTTGTTTAGGTGGGCCGGAGAAAGTTCTGCAAAGAGCCGGGGGCCTGGCGTCTGAAAGGAGAGGACACAAAGCTGGCTTGTTCAGCTCTGGTTAAGACTTGGGGGGAGGTGGAAGAGGTTTGGGAAGGGGTGCTGAAAAGGGGGAGCAAAAGGCATGAAGGGAAAATAGGAGGAGGAGAGGAGGAGGAGAAGAGGACGGGGAGCGAGGAGGGATGGAAAAGGGGAGGGGAGAAGGAGAGGAGGGTGGATGGGGCACCGTTTCCATTGCTTACCACAGGAAATCTGTGCAGGGTTTAAATACCAGCCAGAGCCTCTTTTGTAAGCAGCTTGTGTGAAAGTGTGTGAAGAGCGTAGCAGCATGGTCAGCCGGTGAGTAACACCTTCTCTTTAGTTTCTCAGATGCATGGCAGTGAAGACAAAAGCTTGAAAGGTTGAAAATGACTTTTCAAGGTTGGGTTTTGCTGGTTTTCCCCAACAACATAACAGAAAGCAGCTGGCAGACGTGCTTTGTTCTGCTCTGCTCGAAATGATCTGATGATGAGTCATCGGAGCAGATTTCAAACAGTTTACCTCGGGAGTTTCAACCTGAAATTTCACAGTAAGTCACTGGTGCTGTAGTAAAATACTCGATGGATCTTAGAAAAGCTTAGAAAAGCTGATGTATGTACTCTGAAGGAATCTTGGCCCAGAAGAATTTCAGCCCTGCTTCTACACAAATGCAACAAAGCAAAACAAAACTGTGAGAAAGAATGTTGATTTTAAAAGGAATAGAGAAATGTAAGAAAACACAAAAATAATAATACATGACAAAACAAGACCACTCAGAACCCCCAGAGGAGGCCCACTGTACTTCTGTGAAGTTTGAAGACAGCTGAGGAAATATAATGCAGTGTGACCTGGACTTTGACCTGATTTTCACAAAAAGTAAATCAGCTCGAGCTGTTGTTGGTATCTACCGTCTGAGAAAATGTGGAAATGATATCTTGACAGCTATGGATGCTAGACTGCAAACAAACAAATGGAATCAATTACATACTTCCTCCCTTTGAGGGGAGGACAATGGGTAAGATATCCAACAAACGACAAACGAACTGGCTGTTAACAAGACAAACAAGGAACAAGCAGTTGAGAAAACTTGTAGACATATTTCATTATTTCTGAAGTCCAAAAAAGAAAAACTTTTTGTATTTTGTTTGCAGCGTGGAGCATCCTGCTGCCAGCTACAAGAAGATCTTTGAGTCTGTGGAGGAGCTGAATGAACCCATACCAGCAGTTATCACTGGTAGGAAAGAGCGACTGACAAAAAACAAGTAGCAATGCATGGCTGTGTCGATGGCAGTGTGGCTTTAATCACTAACATTTATGGTTCCAAGACAGCGAATCACCTGAAATTTCCTCCAGTACCAGTGTTCATGAGATTTCTGATTTAGTGGTAATGAATAATCTGCAGTTAAATATGCTTTAGATATTATGAGAGTCCTCTAAAGATTTATCATTACAGGTTGGGCAATTATGAACAAATCAAGGATCACATGTGGGAAATTAGAAATTCTTTATTTTGCTGAGGAACATTTAGCTGTGACAGATCTCCTGTCTCCGTAAACTTGCATCTATGATCTGATGACTATTACTTATGAGTGGCAGAAGCAAAGAACAATGTGCCACACTCTTCTATTATATGTTCACATTTGCAGTGTGAAGGTGGCAGGTAATGGCAGGTATACAAGGGGGAGCCCATTTTTCTAAACTTAAAAGTATATTGGTTTGCTTTTATAACTTGCGCAACAACTTTCAGGTCATGTCACTGCATATGTTTACAATGATGGACTGTAGGAAAGGGGGAGGGGAAGGATCCAGGCCATGCACAGTATAAAAACTGGACATACAGCTACTGTCACAATGTCATCTGTTGATTTCTAAAGTGCAGTTTTGAAACGTCATGATTGGTGTTTTCATTGTCACCAAAAATTTAAGCAGGTGCGACAAACACGGGCAGGTGTGATTGCTCTCTCCCTAACTACTTGTCAATCACAAGTCATCAACAAATTGACATGTCATTCTGAAACATAGTATAACCAAGCTTTACAAAATAGACTTCACTGTTCTTCATGAAATAAGTGACTGAGCCCATAAACTCAGGAAAGGGTTAACACAGGGGAATGCGGGAAGACTTTTCCCATAGACTGCTGTGGGACCTGAACACTTTCAGTAACCACAGCTATCCCCATCTGGTGGCCTTCAGATTGCATGCAGGGCTAAAGCATTTTACACTGGCTGTGTTTCCTCACATGGAATCTACATTTATGGTTTTCTAACCCCTCTCTTGAAAACTTCCACTGATGGTTGCATTGATATAACAACTAAATTTCATCACAAGCGTGCGGTTTCTCCTATTTTTTTATCATCTGAAATGTCAAATGGAAACATCTGCAAAAGGCATTTCTCCTATGACATCCACAAGTGCACTGCCTATTTCAAAGTCATAGTGAAACAATAAACACAAGTTAGCGGATTATATTAACGCAATCATCTAATATACACTAAAATAAATATGTACGGCATAGTAGCATAACGCCTGAAAATACACTGGCCAGCATTATCACTACACAAGTGTGCTTTTTTAAATTACGTATAGTTATTTGTTAGTTCTGTATTTAGTGTTTACTCAAATAAAACTCCTTTGGTGACCATTAGGTTACTCACAGGTAACGTACATTGAACATGACACGCGAAAGACACAAACATTGCTATCACAGAAGGATAATAAAATGAACATAATACTTAAGAAAATCAATAGTTAGGATTTATAATAACATTATTATGTAACATATACGAATAAATATAAATATGTATATGTGTGGCATGTATATGTACTGCCTCATGGAGTGTAATGTTTTTTGATTGAACTAAATGTTGTACATTGGTTAACATAAAGGCTACTGTGAAAGTAAATCCTTTGATGCAAGGAAAATAGAGAGAAGACATTAGTCTGACTTAGTCTGAGATATACTCAGCTTCAGGCCTGACCTGTTCACCCATCTACGCAAAATGCATTTTTGGTGTTACTGCCAGGATCAGTCTTGTGGATAAAAATACTGTAGTGTTATAAGTGACACTGGGGTGTTAGAAATGGGTAAAGTTTGATACTAACCACTTGATGTGCATAGTGTGAAAACAAGTGTAGACAGAATCCTATAGTCTGAGTTTTTAGACAGCAGAATGTGGCATCATGTGGTCAGGATGTGCACGGCTTCGTTTGATGGTTTTATCACTGCAGGTGTTATCCCGTCATGGCTGGGGGGAAGTCTTCTGAGGATGGGTCCAGGTCTCTTCGAGGTGGGAGATGAACATTTCCAGCACCTGTTTGATGGACAGGCTCTCATCCACAAGTTTGACCTGAAAAACGGTCAGGTGACTTATTACCGGAAGTAAGAAAACGGATTAATCTACAAAAGCAGAGCACATTATTTTTATATTTCATATTTCAAGTTGCAGTATTCTGAGGAAATACCTTTTAAGAACGTACGTTTCTAGCTGTACTGACATCAGGACGTTAAGGCATTTTTTCTTAAATCACAAAAGAAAAAGAAGAAGAAGAAAATCTGGTTCTCATATTCCCAGCAGCTCCAAGCTCCAGTTGTGGGTTTTTATGACATCTGATTTTGGTTTGGAGTTCTTTGCAGCTGAGGAAAAGTGGGATGTTGCAATGAAACAGGCAACGAATGAAGAAGGCTTTTTGTGTTTCAAAGATTTCAGTCACGTGTCACAATGAAAATTTTTAAAGTAATATGAGTGGGATTCAAAAACAGCTGACATACTAGTTGATGTTTGTGCTCAGGTTTATTAGGACAGATGCTTATGTTCGGGCCATGACAGAGAACAGAGTTGTCATCACTGAGTTTGGCACGGCAGCCTACCCAGACCCCTGCAAAAACATCTTCTCAAGGTAATCCCAAACCCATGCCCTAAAATGCACACAAAAGGAACATTACACTGTACAAAAGCTGTCGAATTAAAACAAATAGCTCAATAAATAAATAACTTAATATGCAATTCAATTAAAAAACATTTTATTTATATGACTTAAATTATTGTGCTTCCTTGATTGCATTTAAACGTGCTTTTCTCATTTGATTTTCCATTTAATCAATTGTCAATGTACGGTTATTTCTTTATTATTGGTTTATTGATGTATTGCAAAAAAACAAGATAAGAAGATAAAACCTTTCATTTGGTGCGAAGCTGAGGCCAGGAGACTGTACTGAACAGTTAGACTGGAAGCGTCCAACATTCCTGTGGTTGTGAAGTGCACGATGTTGAAAGCGTTCAAATGGAGAAACCTGTTGGGGTTTTTTTTTTCAAGATCTATTTATAGATTTAAAAAAAAATCCTTAGTGTTTGTCATTTATGTTCCACATATCCCCTTTCAGTGTTCTTAAATGAACCGTGCTCATTCCCAGTGCTATATTTTTATTCTGGAACTTCATATAGTAGTTTTCATGAGTCATAGTTATGAATAACTATCAATATTCTAATAAATATCCATGTTATATTATAATGAGCCTTGGTGCATCCTCTCAGCTCATACACTGTAAACAATCCATTTAGCTCCCTCCTTGTAACTCAACCTTCATCAGAAACAGGTAGTTTTACCAGTAGGTGGGTTGGGGTTCCTGAGATGACCATATTAAGGTATCCTCCCTCTTTGATGCTTTACAAATCCCAGGAGTAAAACAGTGTCAAACTTGAGCTTTTGGTTCACATACACTGATCTTATCATGTTGTGCCTGTGTTGTTGTATTATTACTATGGGTTTAGGGAAACGGTTGGTTTAATATAAAGTTTTCCTCGTGCTTGTAATTTCAGGTTCTTTACTTACTTCAGAGGCATTGAAGTGACTGATAACTGTTTAGTGAACGTCTACCCGATTGGTGAAGACTTCTACGCAGTCACTGAGACCAACTACATTACCAAAGTTGACCCTGATTCACTGGAGACATTAAAAAAGGTGGGAGCTGATTGGTTTAAATTTACAGTAAGCTAGAGCCATCGTCATTTTCTGGTAGCGTTATTAAACCTATACCCTCCCCAAATATGCCAGAAGGAAGAGTTCTAGTTTTCAACATTGCTGCATTTTCAGTTGCTTTATTATTCTTTCCTTGCAGCATCTATGACTGTTTCCGGTTGTGATTTTACATATTTAGCTTTCAACTTGAATGTCTTCCAATTTGCAATAGGTGGATCTTTGTAAGTACCTCTCAGTGAATGGGGTGACCGCCCACCCCCACACTGAACGAGATGGCACGCTCTACAACATTGGCAACTGCTTTGGCAAGAACATGAGTCTGGCTTATAACATTGTTAAGATCCCACCTGTTCCGAAAGGTGAGTTCATTATACACAGTACTCTCAATGACTATCAATGGATATGTTTTAATTGATTATTATTTTATTATTTTATTATTATTATTATTATTATGTTTATTGACCTTTAAATTATATTGTAAATTTTTATCTTATAGAGATTTGGGTTTGAAAGGAGTATCATGCCTGAGTTTTCCAGATAAGCTTTTAAGCACTGACTGTTTGTTACCGCGACGATAGACTGTCAAGAAAAAAGAAGAATATGATAGATAAAAAGGGAGCGAACAGGATAGAAGAAAACGGTGGATAACAGAAAAAAGGAGAAAAGAAAATGAGACAAAGATTTAAAAAAAGAAAAAGGTTTAAAAGAAAAGTTGAAGCAAGCAGAATGCAGAGAATTCAAATAAAATTGTCAGGAACAATGTATATGTTTGTATCTCTGTGATTCCAGATAAATCAGACCCCATAGAGAAGTCCCAAGTGTTGGTCCAGCTGCCAAGCAGTGAGAGGCTTAAACCCTCCTACGTACACAGGTACAGAGTTATCTCATACATGTACACAAAGCCTGGTTTTTGTTTTTGTTCCTTTCTCTTTGTATTTGACGTTTTACCATTAAGATGAACTGTGCTTTGCCTCTGAGTGTCTTTCACTGTTTTGCTTATCTGTCTCCAGCTTCGGTATGACAGACAACTATTTTGTATTCGTGGAGCAGCCGGTGAAGATCAACCTGCTCAAGTTCTTGTCAGCTTGGAGCTTCAGAGGAGCCACATACATGGACTGCTTTGAGCCCAACGCCAGCATGGGGGTAGGCAGGGCACAGGCATTAAAGAAGGCCCCTGGAATCCAGTCTGTTCTTGAATGCTGGAGTTACAAACACCTGCAATATCTGAATATAATTTATATTAGATCTTTTGGACTCTTTTGCATTAATTTCACTAAAAGCCACACAGCTGTGCTATTTACTAAAGTCACCTGCTTGCTCCAAGTTTCTGAGCCTTCTCCTGGGAAAAAGTTAATTGATTGGTCATGTGTGTCTGCTTGGTATCATCTGGTCAGTGAGTATGTGTGTTTGTGTGCTGCAGACATGGTTCCACTTGGCCAGTAAAGAGCCAGCGGGTTATCTGAGTAGTCACAAGTTCAGAACATCAGCATTCAACCTCTTTCACCATATTAACGCCTATGAAGACGAAGGATTCATCGTTGTCGATCTCTGCGCGTGGAAAGGGTAAGTGTAAAGCTGTGTGTATGTGCAAGTGTCTTACATGCAATTATGTGACATCTCTCTCTCTCTCACTCTCTCTGTGTTTCTTTACAGTCATGAATTTGTGTATAACTACCTGTACCTGGCTAATGTGAAAGAGGAGTGGGAGGAGGTGAAGAAAGCAGCTGCACGAGCTCCACAGCCTGAGGTCAGACGATATGTCCTTCCACTGGATATTCACAGAGTGAGTCTACACACAGAGATAGTGCAAGTTATTTATGTCATCAGTTATATGTTTGATCATTAATAGTGATTATTTAGCACTGTAACAGGATCCATCATACTGATTAGGCAGGCCACATTTTTTAAAATGCAGAAGAAAATTCTTTATAACAACACAGTATTAGGTATTGTAGCAGCTAGATGGTGTAGTGGTAAGACTACAAACCTTTAGAGCGAGAGTTGCAAGCTCAATTCCCACCGAGTATCCAGTAAGGGTCCTGGCTTGTCCTACAAAAACCTGACTTGTTGCTTGCAAATTCCACATAAGTACAGGACACTTGCACCTTTGTCGTGGGTCTTACAGTGTCATTGTTTCCTCCAAACGCTGGCCTGCAAATTGCATATAATTACAGGGTACTTACACCTAATACACAGGTCGTATTATAAAGTGTTACCAGTTTTTTAATCTAATATGTCATAGGATTGATCAGAAACATTGTAAATGACAAATAGTGATTAATGGACTCATGGAATCGTTTCTTCATATCAGTTTTAATTGGTCAGCTCACAGCCTCTAAAGCTAATTTTTGCTACTACAGTATAAGTGGAAAAGGTGTTGTCACTGTTATTTATGTGTACCTGTTTATCTGAATATAGGTCAAGTTAAATTAAATCTACTTATATTAGATGCAATATTATATTATTATTATTATATTATATCATAGTATAATTGGGAATAACAATCATTAGCCTCTCTGTGTAACCGAAAATGTACTTAAAAACTTAATAATGTATTTAAATACCTTTTGTTTCACCCGTTAAACTCTTCATCAAAACTGTGAGAGCGGTATTAGACATTCATGAATCAGAAAATAATGAAATAATGGGATCTGTTTTGAAAGGCTAAAACTTGCTTTGGGGCAAATTTTATCTTTGTATTTTCAGCATTTTGTTGTGTGGCAGTTTGAGATATTTACCTTTAAAAGTGCTATATAAATAAAATTGTATTTTTACTTTGTATTGCTTTTATTAGATCCTTACTGTAATGGTTCCCATAGAGCTGGATTTACAACATTGGACTGATCAATTAGTTAGCTTGTTTGTCATATCAGGAAGTAACAAAATAGCCCAAATAAAAATCTAGTTGTAATATGACATACAAGATGAGATCTGAGAAAATTGTGCAGCATCACAAATAATTTTAATTTGTGACAACAAAATGTTCTGTCGTTCCATATTTATTCAACCCTAAAAAAACCCCTGCATGAAGCCAAAACATTTACTGTAACCTAGGAATGATATCTCTTTATCTTTAAGCTCCACGGTATTCTGTACACAACTTTGTGTGTGTTTTCAGGAGGATCGGGGGAAGAATCTGGTATCTCTGTCGTACACTACAGCGACCGCCGTTCTTCACAGCGACGGTACTATCTGGCTCGAACCTGAAGTGCTGTTTTCTGGACCAAGACAGGGTATCACATATACACTATAGTTTACATGTTCTCTGTATATTCCAATATGTGTATCCTGAAGGGTACATAATACACTGATTGTTATAACATATTAAATATGTGCCCATATTCATTTCTTTTCTCTGTGTCACTCTCTCAGCTTTCGAGTTTCCACAGATCAACTATTCAAAGTGCTGTGGGAAGAAGTACTCCTTCGCCTATGGCCTGGGACTCAACCACTTCATTCCTGACAGGGTAAGAAGGGTTTTCATTGAACACATCAGGAGACGAGGACAGTTGCAGGGCCCGTGACGTTAGCTAACTCCACAAGACATTAAAAGCAACTGGTTGCTGCTTTAGATCGTCAAGCTGAATGTGCAGACCAAAGAGACCTGGGTGTGGCAGGAGGAGGACAGTTACCCATCAGAGCCACTGTTTGTGCCGTCACCCGGAGCTACAGAGGAGGATGATGGTAGGACACATTCTCACATCTTAGCCCACAGAATTACACACTAACACTGGTCTTCAGGGTGTTTGTGGCTTTCAGATCATATTGAATCAAGCATGAAATTAATTTATTAAATTATTGTCTTCTTTATTAGATGCTTATCATTTTTGTTGTTGTCATTATATTAAGTAAAAAAAAAAACAAACGAACAAGGATCATCTAGAATATGCTCAATGGGTAAAGTGACCGCCTCCATGTTTTTATATACAGTTTATCATCCAAAGGCGCATTATTTTCTATGTCCAGTAAGTGGAACTCCTGTAAATGCTTTAAGTTTTCATGGAAAATTAGATGAGTAAAGCTACATTTTAAGCTACACTGCAGTCATTCACACATTGGCAAGTGTTTGATATACAAGTCGATTTTGTGTAATATATGTTTCAAACCAAAGTTTTTATTAGCGCTACATAAATCTCTGCCTAGCACAGATGACACAACCTAAATATGGGATGCAAACGTATCCTTTCTTTCATTCATTCAGCATCAAATATACATATTTTATCATCTTTACACACCCAAACTCTAACTGTAGACACATTACGCTCATTTGAAACAACTTTTTTGCGTTTTTCCTTATGAACGTTTGCTGTAGAACACGCAAGCAGTTGCCTCCCGTGTCTGGGTTTTACAGGTGTGTTGCTGAGCATTGTGGTAAAGCCAGGTGCGCAGAGACCAGGTTCCCTCCTGGTGCTGGATGCCAGAAACCTGACAGAGCTCGCCAGGGCAGAGGTCAACACTATCATCCCCATCACCCTGCATGGGACTTACAAGCCATGAAGCTGCGTTTCTTCCAAACAGGTGCTTCATGAAATACACCAGTCTGGCTCTTTTCTCCCACCATAGACGAGTTTTCTTATGGAAATGAAACCCCATCATTGCTTTACAATGCTGCTAAAAAAAATAAAAATCTTCAGCAGTCTCTGTCATATGTTACCTGGCCACACAATGCATGTTGGTTCTATTTTTCCTGTAGCTGTAGCTGGTGGTGAGAAGAAGCCCAGCGAAGCATTACATCAACCACATTTACTGCATAATCAGTTTATGTTTATGTAATTGTTGTTGTAAATCCACAAATGTACACAGACGGTATTTTTGCTACAGGTATTTGAAACAATTTTGGTCAAATACAAAAACTGTTAATGTGTATTTGTTTTGACAACACATGTTGTAAAAATAAATCTGTGCATACATTCATCACTCATCACAAAATTGAGGCAACATTTGGAAATGTGAGCTATAAAAACATGTAATCCTACCAATCCAGTAAAATTATATGATGAGCAGGATATGGGTCTGACCACGTACTAAAAATCCAAAACTGAGATTAACATGATATTAGAAAAGAGTTATATATTGGTGCATCCATGTCATTTGGATTAAGCACCATTGCTTGTTGCGTATGGACTTTTGATATCACTTTAAATTTGACTCTTCATTGCATTCAAACTTCAGATTTCAACATCTTTTTAGAAAATCAACAGCATGTTATAATACCAGATGAATAGTTGTGGATTAACTGTACTTTATACATATATGTTCCTAAACTTGTTTCTGTGTACACACTGTGGTTGTTACAACTTAGTTTGGCACCAAATACAGTAAATATGGAGTATAATCAAACTTCCACAGTGCTTTGTGAAAGCTAGCTGTTTATCGTTGACCTTCATGTATATGCAGCACTGTTTATAAGCCAATTATATTGTTGAATTTAGAAGAAAAAAATGTAGATGCAAATAAAAGCAGTGCTATTTTTCTACGATTGGAAATAAAGCTGGCTGCAGGTCCACAGCTTGCACAAGCAGGGGCCCGTTCTTCGTACCTCGCTAAGTAGGTTAGCCGGATTAGATTGTTGACGATTTCGCGTGATCCTGGATCAGTCGGTTCCCCGAAGCTCATCCGGGACTTGCTGTCATAGCAACAGAGCCGTAAGCGTAAACCTGCTCGGGAGCAGGTTTACTTTATGTAAACAGGATTAGATCGCGGCCACGCAGGTATGTCCGCTTCATTTATACGAAAGCAACAGCGATATTTTTCCACTGTTTCACCATAAATAAATATTATCAATGTAACTAAAGGTAATGCAGCACTTGATCCTTTTATTGATGTCACACAGATACATACAGGTCATTTCCTAAAAAAGGGAAATGTACTATTAATCATTCTATTACATGTATGTGATTATTACAGATGTAATTCATATTTCAGAGTAGTAATTGCAAATTACTTTGTGTAATCAAGATGAGAGACCACGGCTATAAAAGTGAAGGTGGATTTGGGAAGCCTGTCGCAGCCATGTCCTGTCCGTATACGCGACCAACCCATTGCGGAAGGTGCAAGATTGATAAGGAGAGTTTTCAGAATTCAGCGTATATTGCGGGACAGACAGGATCCTTTACCTCAGCGCGACAGTGTGCTCATAGAGAGATATCGATATTCCCGTGAGGGTATTATATACTTAACCAACTTGTTGACGAGGGGGTGCAGGACCACCACCTGTCTTTTTTTCCTCTGCCCTTTTCTTGGTTGCTGTTATGAACAAACTAACAGAGTATTACAGGCCAGTATTACCTTGCCAAGAGACGCAAAGCAATCTAAGAGATAAATATTACCATTCTGTAGAATACTCCTGTATTCCACTTTTACTTGTTCCCATTTTCTTGTGGGTCCTGTTGTGGCTCTAATGTGAAAGGGGATATAATATAACATATTATAATATAATATAATGCCATATGATATTGGACAATATAGTGTCATATGATAGATCTACCCTACCGCCTACTGGTGTTGGCCAGAGGGGCCGATGGCGCGATATGGCAGCCTGGCTACAACCGTAGCTGCCTCCACCAGTGTGTGAATGTGGGAGTGAATGAATAGTGGTATCGTAAAGCGCTTTGGGTGCCTTGGAAAGCGCTATATAAATCCAATCCATTATTATTATTATTATTAAATTACCTACGAGTTTGATTTGTCAGCAACTTTCTGCCAGCCCTCTCTCCTTGCTTTTGCAGCCTTTGCAGTGTTCTCTTGCGTTTTAATTAAACTCTGAAACTCCTGAAATCCCTCACTCATGAGTTCTTGCTCTGCTGCCGGAAAATACCGAGCACGCCCCTTCGACATTTTCGCCGACCAATCAGCGGGTTGCCGATCAATGTTTCTACTATCGATGCGTAGCCCCTTTTACGACACCCAGTGATGTCACATTCCTGCGTCCAGCTGTAGTAATCGTCAACAGCAGGTGTGTTCGGGGAACCGGATTAGCGAGCTCACGGTTAGCGCGATGATTTGATCTTGGATGTGTCATTTGATCTTGGATGTAGTAAGCGACGTACGAAGAACGGGCCCCAGGTCAAATGTTGGGTTATTAAACTAAAGCAGATCTCTGTTTATTCAGCAGCATACCACCCTGGCATCAGCACTCCCACTGACCAACGACATGTACGTGTCTTCTCGTCTCATATTACATGTAGTTTTTTAATTGATATAAGATGAGTTTTTTAAATTTTATGTGAATGTGTAATTTCACTTTTTGGTTAATAAAAAAAACAAAAAACAAAACTTGTGTTCTGTGTTCTTCCTCAAAACATTACAAACAAATGACTACACAAAATGTTAAAATCCATGATAATTAAACTAAAAACTGTACTACAATAGTTACATTATAATTTTTTTTCTAAACTGGGTTTCTTTTGGAACAAACTGACAGAAATAGAGTGCACATTTCTAGGCAACTGTTTTTTTTTTTTTAGGAAGAAACTAATTTTAAACCAAAATGCAGGCTGCACTGATCCAACTTTTCCAGTTCTGATCCAATGCAGATACGTAGCTTAAGTACCAAAGTGATGCTCATGTTATATTAATAAGCATTAATCCTCACTGTGAGAAAGAAACTGGAAATCATTCTTTTACATGTAAGGCTACAGGTAAAAGGAGCCAATGCACTGCTGTTCATGCTTTGTGTTGTAAAGAACAAACAACTGAACTGATTGAATCGCTTATAGATCAACTCGCTGTCAGGCATTCTGTGTGAGGAATGATCCACCACTAGGCTGCTGTGTGTAAACATCCCAGAGAAATATTTTGTTCTGCAACTTGGTCTGAAAGTGCTGACAATCAAAACCTGATGAGGAACTGTGCAGGATTTAAATCCCTCTCTCCAGAGTGGTTTGACCTAGCGCCTACATTTACAGTACACAGGATTGATTACATATTTGTTGTGGTGACCTCAACAAATTTACAGAGAAGCTTCTTCCATTACAAGTGAAAACGGGATTGTTGTGAGTCCAACAGGAGCAGTTAAATCTGATGGGGACAGAAGCCTCTACATACGCAGAGGTATCGATTGCAGAGTCTCTGTAGACAGCTGATACCGCTGCTGTTTGATGATGTCCAAAACGTCTCTAAGAACCTGAAACCAAAAAGCAATAAATACAACAACAACAAAAAAGAAGCGTTCTTAAATGTGCTCTCAAATGTTCCCAAAGACACAGATAATCCCTTAAAAATGGGTCATTTTTACCTTCCGGGTGTTCTGCGGCAGAATGACTCCATCATCCCACATCCTGCTGGAGGAGAAGAAAGCTGAACTCTCTTCCACCAACATCCTGTTTAGTTCCTCTTCCTGCTTCTTCTGCTCTCCTTCTTGCTCACCATCAAGGGGAAACAGAGAGCCAATGTGACCCGGAGGGGCAATAGAAACTTTGGCATTGGGCCACAGGAACAAGAAATTAGGATCAAATGCTCGGCCACACTGGTGAGGAACGAAGAAGGAATTATTACTGTAAGCCACATTCTACAAGATTACAATGAATCGGTAAGAATTATCATTATGTGCAATTTCTGGGGTTTTTTTGCATATCTTCTAGTGGTGCAACGGATCAAAAGTCTCACGGTTCGGATCACGTTTTTTTTCGTCACGGATTGGATCAATTTTCGGATCAGCAGAAAAAAAGAAGAAGACAAAAATTTAACTCGCCATTTACTTATTTAAGTATTTTTTGCCTATTAAAAAGCATTCCACTCAAGACTCATTCCACGCAATTATATAAAAACAAATTAAGATGCAATATAGGGCAGTACAGGGCTTTCTATCTCCCACTCCGCTGTGATATAATGAGCGGTCACGTAGCTTTCCGTTGCCCTGGAGGTCCACCCGTTTGTAACAGAAGATGCCTGGGACAGTTCAGTTATAACTTTAAACTTTTCCTGCTCATACATGCTTGGAGCGATCTTGTCACTGAAGTGGAGGCGCGACGGGATATCATAGCGTGGCTCAAGCACGTTCATCATAGTTTAAACTAGTGCTGTCAGAGTAAATCTCGTTAAAATGATGTTAATGCCATAACTGCATTAATGCGGCAAATCTCTGTTAACTAGTTATCGCCCCGTGCGTGGGGCTGCACGGCGTCAATGCATCAACTAACGCGTTGACTAGTTTAAAACCCTTGTTTTGCACAACGGAAAACGGCCTCCCGTCTGCAGCTAAACACCCCAATAGCTTTTATACACATACTTTTTTTCTTCTTTTTCGAATCACGTGCGTGCCAAACCGTGGAGTGGGATCGGTTCGGATTACGGATCAACTGTGATCCGTTGCACCACTAATATCTTCTCTAAACTCTCTGCGGTAGAGACTTGAGGCTGTCTTGTGTCTTTAAGCAGTCTTAAGGAATAGTTGAAGGACATTCAAATCTTTTTGGAAGTTGGCTGCCTTTTATTCTGTTCACTGTCAAGATGATCCTGCACGGCTTTAGTCATGTTGCGGTCAGAGCTCCTGGCAGGTCAGTCCATGACATGACTGATAGAGTTTCATTGCTTGCTTTCCTATCCAGAAATGCTTTTACTGTAATGGCAGCATGTTTGGGATCATTGTTATCCCTAACATCACTTCCGGATATGTATTCTCAAACTATGACATTTGTTTATCTTCTAGTTTTTTTCCAGGCATGTCACTTATTTTGTCCTTCACTTCAGATTTTTTTTAAGAACACACCTCACGTCAAGCTTAGATATTCCAAGTTTTTGTTTAAAAGTTCTTTAGGAAGCACCTTCTTCCTGTAAAAATACTATTTTATGCCTGTGAAACTGCGTCACTTGTTTTTGCAGAGGCGACCAGAAACCCACTGGCACATTAAAAATGGACTCTTTGCCAGGTTGTCTGTTATATGGGAACAACACTGGTTCATCCCTTAATTTAGGTGCCTTTTATATCACGTTTGATTCATCGATCAGTGTTACATGGTTTAACAAACAGAAAAATGATCTGAAAATGGTCATGTACAAACTTTAGACTGAAAAATAAATTGATTCGCTCACCATAGCATAGCTGTCTGCACCATGGCAACCACCAATCACCACAGTGATCTTGGGGACAGAGGCGGATGCTACTGCTGACATCATTGAACCCTGAGCTTTTAGATGGTTACTGTTCATCTCTGCCTGGGAGACACACATGAATAAATGGTACTTGGGATGGTTTTTTACACTTACTGGGGACTCAAAGTGATTCTAAACTCTCCCAAACTTGAGTCCCTGTGCATTTGTTTTTAGTGAGAATGAAGTGAGAGTGAATACCTGTTTTGTGGACAGTGTCAGTGCTGCAGTGGGTGCCGTGTTCTGGAGGAAGAGGAGTGGGACGTCTCTCTGGTTGCACAACTGGACAAAATGGCTTCCTTTCAGTGTGGCCTCATATGACAGCTGTCCATCATTCGCTAAAATTCCAACTAGGTGACTGACGCAGTGAACACAAAGAAAGAATTACCTTAAGTTTAGGTGAAGTATTACTTAAGGTATTCATTATCAGCCA